TCCCCAAACATCTTTCGCCCCTTCAATCCTGGTTGTTTTCCCCATTCCTTCTCTTTTCTCTGGTCCTCTTACTTGCTTTCCCTGGCCCTGTCCCCTCCTTCGGGTCTCCCGCTTCCTCCAGTTCACTCTCACCCTTCCGAGACCATCCACGTCCGGTCTTTGCTCCGTGGTGCGGCGCTGACTTGCATCCGAGATCACCTCGCTCGACCGCGTTCCCCGCCCCCTTCATGCCCAGGGTCCCCTCCGGCCCTCGTGGGAAGCCAGCGTTGTTTATCCAGCCCGAGCGCACACCGTGAAGCCGATAGCTGCCCTTTCCCGGCCTCTTGTCCCTCACCCCCACCCCTTTGGAATATGTGGCGGGTGGAAAGTACACAAAAGGGCAAGGTGACAAGCCCCCCAAGTTTCTCTCCTGAATAAGGCACTGACCAAAGACTCTCTGGCAGTCCCTTCCTTTGGGTTCTTCCCCCTGGGAAAGGGGAGATAATACACACATCCCCCATTATATGCGATTTGGGGGAGATAGTGATACAAACTGCAAAGTGCTGCTTCCAAGTAGGTCATTTCCGTGAGAGATCAATGGAGTGAGTTTAAAGACAACCTGAGGCAAAAGTAAACCAGAGAGGGAAAGAGAGCAGGAGAGATCTGTGGTCAGATGCAGGGGCTGTGGTCCAAGTTTCCTGCCTTATCTGTGGTGTCCTCATGGAACCTGTGAGGTAGTTGTGTGGTCTCCCGGATAGGCAAGGGGATAGGCAAGGTCCAGGCGGTGCCAGTTAGCTCCCTCCTCTCTCTTCCTAGACCTGTGTGGTTGGTTATACCCCATTCCTGCGTAGCACCGCACAGATGACCACCCAGAGCCCGCTTCAGCCCAAGGGCTCCTTTTTCTGGTCTCCTAGCCTTTCTCTGGGAGCAGTGGGGGTTAACAGGATCTTGACCAGTGAGAAGGAAAAGGGCTTGAGCAGCCGCAGCTCTGTGGATTAACAGCCAGCCCAGGGCAGGCTCAGGTCCTTGGGCTGCCGCCAGAGCACTCAAGAATTTCCTGGAACCAGGTGATAAGACACTTGAACCGCGGAGGGAGAAAGAAAGAGGGTGTAGGAAAGGGCATCTTGGTCCCCCAAACTGCAGGGTGGCTAGGGAAGGCTAGCAGAAATTCCTCTACCCCCAGTTCCAACGCAGGAGCCTCCATTTGGGCTGATTCCCCAACCACTATACAGTGAAAGATGCTTTCTGGCGCAATGCGGCCCTTTCCAAGAGTGCCTAGGGATGAGAGAGAGGGGATTCAGCAGTGACCCTTAAGGCACCCTGTGCAGGCTTCACACCACCCAGTGTGGCTGTTGATCTGAATAACCTGAAGGGTGCTAGGAAGCACTTGTGTCCTTCAGGACAGTGGGTGTGATGGTGAGAGCCAGGAGAGAAGGCTGGTGCTCTTCTCTGAACAGACACTGGTTTTAAAACATACAGAGATGAGCTGAGAGGCTTCAGAGCTAGAAAATTGGAAAGCTAGGGCAGTTTTTCTCTCCATGTCTCTACCATCAATGGTATTTTAAAATAGAAGTCCAAACAAATCTATTATGCTGTCACAGTGGATGCCTTAAACCTACCTAGAATCTGGAGCAAGCGGTATCCCTCCAGTTGTGCTCCAGGACCCCTCTTGTGACACTGGGGTTGTTCTCCCACGCTTCCTTGAAATCCTGTTTACTAAGCTACCAGGACAGTGGGACAATCCGAGCATCAAGCTTCAGAGTCCCGCCCCGCTCTCAACTCCATAACGTGCTGGTCTACCTGCAGGGAGGAGCCCCTTTTCCCCTGCATCGAGGTCCTGGAGGTCCTTGTAGTCCCAAATGGACAGATCAACCTCCTCCTGTCCACCCGAAAGGAAATCTCAAGCGTTGAGTTCAAGAAGGGCCAGCAGCCGGGTCCAGCTGTCGCTCCAACTCCACCCCCAGCCCCGGCATCCCCTCTGCTTTGCATGAGACGGAGCCCAGCTGGGGCGCGGGCGGGGATGAGCCACTCGGGACAGGGTCCGCTATAGACTCCAGAAAGGGGCGGTTGAGTCAGGGCGCTTGCAGCAAGCCGAGACAGCTGGGGGTTTGGGGAGGGGAGTGTGGGAATCACTTTGCTGGACCAGCCCCTCCCCGCCTGCTTCACCCAGAGCAACAGGCTGGAGAGGGGCAAGTCGGGGGTCGGTATAGAGGAGGCGAGGACCCCAGGCCACTCTAAGCAACTGCTAGGGTTTGGGAGTGACAGATAGCCTTCAGCTTTTTTCCGTAAGTGTCGGTCCGCAGAAGGAACACAAAGCCAAGTCCGAGCCCGCGAAGTCGACCTGTTGGGTTGGAGAGCCCCCCCAACCCCCACCCGTCCTGTCTTGCTCTGATCCCGGCTAGGGAGAGACTGGCGGAAGCGGCTGATGGAGAGTGACAATCAGCCCCAACGCCTCCCTAGCCCCCAGCTGGGAGCTGGAGCCCTGTTGTCTGTGAAGCAGAGTGCAGAAAAGGCCTTATGGGCCCCACACCCAGTGGTCAGGATGGGCAGAGAGCCAAAACGGGCGTACCCGGGGGGCTTCGGATTGGCTTCCAAAGACAAGGTGATGACCGGCTGCTGCTGGGGGCTGCCGGCGGGCCTCTTGCGGCAGGGTGGTGGAGTCTGAAGTAGGAATAGGGTGTAGGCAAAGCCCTAACGCCCTAGTCCTATAGATGGAAACCAAATTCGCTACAGTGGCTTCCCGTTTCGTCGGAAGAGGGTATTCCTTTTGCAGACAGCTGCATTCCTTGCAGGGCCAGGTTCTTTACGATTGCGTTTCAGCGTTCATTTCTCCCAGGTTGGAACTGAGGGGCCGGGGGCCTGTGTTGGTTGCCTGAACTCAGCAATGGAGTGAGGTCAAAAAACCGATTCCAAAATACACTGGATCTGACTAAATTTAGCCCATCCTTATTTCCATCCAGACCAAGGCGATTGTACCCCACCACCATCACCAAGGAAAAAGAGAAAATAATAAAACCACAAGGAGCAAAGGCGATTGTACCCCACCACCACCACCAAGGAAAAAGAGAAAATAACAGAACCACAAGGAGCAAAAGCGATTTTGAGGTCCTGCTAGACATCACTTTGAAAGATGTGTCGGTTAAGCGTTGAACTGATGCTGTCAAAACGAATTTAGTGTTTGACGGGCCTGGGCTAGAGAACTAGAGTGACTCTTAAAGGCTCAGGCTCTCAGGACCCTGACCCGACCCCCAGGTGTCCGATAATCGCCCTTTTGGGCAGTAGTCCCGAGTTTATACTCCCAGCAGAATTAAAGCGATGAGCTACTTCAGGAGTGAACTACCGAGGGTTTGTGGTCTGCGATTGCCCGGGAAGCTGGTGCCGGCCCGGAGCCTGGAAAAGGTAAGGACAGGAAGCAGAGCCCAGGCCACCGAGGACTACACACCGACTGCAGCCGGTCTGGGGAGCCCCGGGAGGTCCCCTTCACATGTCTCTACTACCAATCCCAGCCCGCCGCCGCAGCTCCGAGAGTTTCCACCTAGACTTTTGCTTTTGTATGTAAAAGGTGTCTCCGGATCACAGTTTTCTCACAACTTCTCGCCGGGGCTGCAACTCCTCACCCGAGGCGCTTCCCCACCCACTTCATTCCCCCTCCCCAGCAGCGCGCCTCCAGTCTCCCCCGCCCCCATCAGGAAACCGCCGGAATCAACTTTCCAGACCGCGCTATGGGAAACTTACACCCAGTTCTGATCAAGACCCGGACCGGTGGACTTTGTGTCTATGGAGAGAGAGGGCACAGAAGGAAGAAGCCAGGAGGGAAGAGTTTGCTGCCAGCCGCCCGTTCCTCCCGCCTCTCCCTAAAAAGCGCGCAGTCCCCGGGGCAAACTTCCAGGCCAGGAAAGGAGGAGAGAGAAAAAATAAAATCGAATCAGTCAACACCTGCAGAATTTCAAAGCCAAACAGTGCACCAGGGCTCCAGGGCTCCCGAACCCAGTTGCACCTCAACCTTCAACAAGGCTCGATCTTGGATTACTCCCGCTCTCCAACAGAACTCTGTCCCCCGACAGCACCTACTGTCGCGCTCTGTCATCCCCTCCCACAGAAACAGAACGCCTTACCGGAGCAAGAGGGGACCCCCGGCACCTCGCTGCCCGCCGCCCGCACTGTGCGGGGCCGCAGATGCGGCGGCCACTGATTCTCTAAACGCGGTCTCTCCGCACTCTCCCTGGTCGGGGTTTGCAGAATGGTTTACAGAGGGACCTCGAGCCGCTGATTGGTCGCAGGCCGCCGTGACGTCGGCGGGCGCTGCATTAAGGCGAGGGGGCTTCCAGAGCTCAGCCAACAGCTAGGAGCAGTGACCGAGCCGCCGGAGCTGGGGAGAGACGCGCCGGGGCGGCGATCTGGGCCAGGAGACCAGGGGCAGAGGGACGTTTGTCTGGGGAGAGAGCCAGCAACGAACCGCGTCGGGGGCGGCGACAGCGGCGGCCCTTGCCGAGCTGTTCCAGCCGTGCAGAACTGTGGCCGCTGCAGCAGGACGTTTTTCTATTGCTCTCCAAGCTACTCCCCCTCCCCCCGACTCCTCCCGCAGCAAAAGGAAAAAAAAAAAAAAAGGAAGGAAAGAGGCTAGAAAGGAAACCCAGATTTTACCACCACCACGCGAGAAAAGAGGGGAGAAGGAAAAGAAAAGTCGAGCGACTGTGGGGTTGGACGCAGGCAGCCGGAGCGTGGGCCAGCGATGCGGGGCTGCGCGCCCAAGCGGCCGCGAGTTGCGACTGAAGCCAAGATGCACGGCCAGGCGCGGTGAGGAGCCAACCCGCACCACCTCCCCGAAGGAGTCCAGGCCAGGAGGGCCGTCCCGAGGACACGGAGGCCGCCAGGCAGGACAGGGGCCGAGGTGACCGGGCGGGGACGGTGGGGAGTGAGCGAGCGCACCTCGTTGCGTCCGCCAGGAGTTGTCCTCTCGGGTCTCGGTCGGCACAAACTCTCCTCCAAAGGGGGGAAACCTAAGCAACGTCAACAATCAACAAGATCTTCCTCTAGCCCTCACCCCTCTCCCTCCCGCCTCGGCCTGCCCCTGCCCCCTCGCCGGGCCCTCCGTGGGCGCCCGGCGCGTCCCACCCGCTACGCGATGCCGGCAGTTTAGGATCCAAAGCTTCTCTACTCGTTTTGTTCTTTTTTTTTTCTTTGAAAAGAGGAGAGGAAATCTCGGTGGCGGCTGCAGGCACGCACACACTCTCCCTTCATATCCCGACAAAAGCAGATGCACTTTGACTTCTGACAGCTCTACCTCAAGCCGGAGAGAATTCAGTGGCGCTTTCGCTGCAACCCGAGCTACTCGCGCGTTCCTCTTCCTTCTCCGTCTGCGTTTTATTTATTTCCGCACCCCTTGCCGTTCTTGGCGACCTTCATTCCTCCGTGGGTTTTGGGCACAAGTCGCTTTTTTTTGCCCGACTGAGACTTTTCCTCGCTCCAGGAGCTGCGCGGCGTGGCTGTGCCCCAGGGCCCTGGGATTCCAGGACTACTCCGAGACACCCCTCCTCATCACCCTCGTCCCTCCCCCCCCCCACCCGTTTTGATTTGCTGGTGCGGGTTTTGGCTAGCACCACGGAGTATATCTCCTCTTTTGGAGAGGCTGGGGAACTTGTGTCGGTTGTCTTCAGGAGTCATCCCCCCAGCTCCACCTGCTCTTCTCTCCCGGGGCCTCACCCGACCAAACCAAAGACCATGGTGCACTGTGCCGGCTGCAAAAGGCCCATCCTGGACCGCTTCCTCTTGAATGTGCTGGACAGGGCCTGGCACGTCAAGTGTGTCCAGTGCTGTGAATGTAAATGCAACCTGACTGAGAAGTGCTTCTCCAGGGAAGGCAAGCTCTACTGCAAGAACGACTTCTTCCGGTGAGTACTTCCCCGGAGCGCCTCTATTGCTCCTTCCCTGTGGGCCCTTTCTGTCTGATTTCGGACCAGAGGTCAGTGTGGCCGCTGAGGACTCAATAGGAGCTGCCTTTGGAGAGGGCAACCAAGTCCCCAGGCACCTGCTTTTTCGCCACCTGGCAAGTGGGCACCGACCTGCTTGTAACCTGGAAATTATGGATCTGGGCTTTGCAGCGTTTACTTGGGAAGAAAGTGTTTAAGCCAGCCTCGGCCCTGAGCCCCTGCCAGCTTGGAAGGAGGCTGAGCAGCCTTGGGCATTGTAGCCTGGCCCTTGTTTTTCCCTGTCCGAGGTGCTCCATCAGCTGCTTTCTCCGGGCTCTCCCTCTGTTGCTCACCTCCAGACCAAGCTTAGAGGGCAGCCAGACTGGGCTAACTTCCTGCCACTACCTTTTCCATTTGCAAGAGATCTTGGCAGGAACTACCAGATCTTTTGCATGGAGTGTGAGTGGCCTGTCAGGGAAGCGGCCCTAATTCCTATCCTATATACCCTGGGATTTCCCTAAAACCCAGATCAGTCATGAGCTGGCCTGGGCAAACTGCTGCAGGGTAATGGAGACAAGCCCCAAGGTTGCATCCTTCACAAAGATTTTTTCTTCTGTGTCCCAGCCTCCTGGGTTTGGCGGGAGGTTCCCTCTCCACCCAAATGCTGACCTCAGAGTGAAACTCTCCCAGGGGACACCTCACAAACCCCTGAGCCAAAACTCAAAACTCTGGGGAAACGGACACCTAGCTCCTCCCAACCAGGAGACTTTTTTCCAGACCCCCACCACCCCCGCCACACACAGTTATATTCTTTTAAAACTATCTTGCCATGCAATCCCCATAAATTCAAAAGTCAACAAAGAATAAGAGCAAATGTGTATTATAATTCCATTGTGTGGGTTTGAAATCTCCTAGTTTACTGGACTGGCTTTAATCTCCGCTTTTCCCTGAGTTTGTGGTGAAAGATCAAAAAAAAAAAAACAAAGGAGCAGGTGAGGGTTTGAATCACCCGGTTGCTTTGATAGGAGGCCCAGGACACCCTATCCTCCATGCCTCCCATGCCACCACAAGGTTCTGGTTGCGAAGGTACCTCCAAGCACAGCGCTGTTCTGGCTGTTAGTGCTGGGAGGGAGCACAGGCTGAGCCGCACAGCTTCTGAGCCTTGGCCCACCATGCTAGGTTTCCTTGGAACTGGCTGAAACCCAGCCGGGGAGTGGCAAACAATGCCCACTGACCGTGGACCCCAGAGGCCTGACACCTGCGAAGCATGGTCAGACACGCAGCCCCCCACGGCAACTCTCGTTTGCGCCAACCTGCTGGGCTTTGGGCTTGACCATATTAACTGCCCAGCTAAGAACTTCCTGGGCTCTCTGAGGCAGCTTGTTTACTTACCCCTTGAGGGACTGGACCTTGCCAACTCCAGCCAGCATGTGTGCACTTTGTGACAAAAGAGGGGCAACGTTAGGGGAGAAACGTGGCACACTGTAAGCGTTTATATGGAGTTCTAATTTGAATTCTACTGTTCTCTGAAATTAATTGGAAAATAAGTGTCTCCTTCTCCCTTCCCGTTGCTGCGGTACTGCCCCCTCTGCAGCGCTTTTTTCCTCTGGGACAACTCTGGGTGTGAAGCTAAGGGTGGAGGCACCTCAAGCCTCCTGCTCTCTCGCTCTAATCCTGTGTTTCATCTCCTCCCTGGTTTCACTGGCGCCCCGTGCTCTGTCCTGCCTTCTTCCCATTCTTGCATTCTGCCTCTTTCTTCGGTCTCTTTTCTATCCACCCCACTCCCCTTTCCTCCTTGTTCTGCTACTTGCTCATCCTTTTCACTGCTTTCTTTATCATCCTTTTCCTGGCTTCTGTCTCCCCCTGCCCCTGGCCAAACCTCACCCCCCTGCAGGTGTTTCGGTACCAAATGCGCGGGCTGTGCGCAGGGAATCTCCCCCAGTGACCTGGTGCGGAGAGCACGGAGCAAAGTATTTCACCTAAACTGCTTCACCTGCATGATGTGTAACAAGCAACTGTCCACCGGGGAGGAGCTCTACATCATTGACGAGAACAAGTTCGTCTGCAAAGAGGATTACCTAAGCAACAGCAGTGTCGCCAAAGAGAACAGCCTCCACTCGGGTGAGGCCCCAAGATCCAACTCATTCGGGGTGGGTGGGCCCTGGGGGGAGAAAGTCCCATCAAGTGTGTGTTCACCTGTCTGTTCCCTCTCCCCAGCCACCACTGGCAGTGACCCCAGTTTGTCTCCGGACTCACAAGACCCGTCGCAGGACGACGCCAAGGACTCGGAGAGTGCCAATGTGTCCGACAAAGAAGGGGGCAGCAATGAGAACGACGACCAGAATCTGGGTGCCAAGCGGAGGGGACCTCGAACCACCATCAAAGCTAAACAGCTGGAGACGCTGAAGGCTGCCTTTGCTGCTACTCCCAAGCCCACGCGCCACATCCGTGAGCAGCTGGCTCAGGAGACTGGTCTCAACATGCGAGTGATCCAGGTCAGGGCCCAGGCTTGCCACTCTGCTTCCCTCCTCTCGGTCCTGCTTAGCTCCAGGCTGAGCCCGGGAAAGCCCAGTGTGGAAAAGGGGAGTGTGTCCCCGGAGGCTGGTAGAAGGAGAGGAGAAGTCTTAAGTACTCACAGAGCCTGTGGATCTTTGAAGCGGGCTTGAGACTGTAGAGTTTTTGTAAATCCCTGTACTCTGTTTCCAGTTCTATGCCCGTGATAAAGTTAGCAGAGATGGAAATACTGGGAACTCAGCCTGAGGCTGGAGGAGAGGGCTCCAGAGTTGGGACCCTTATGTCTGTCATTCACCCTTTTCTGGAAGGAACCAGGAGATTACTACACAAACTGGAGTTTGTTGGTTCCCCTGGCCTTTTTCACAAGGCGGGAGCTCCCTCTGGGTCCCCCACCCCAACTTTGTGGACTCAGATCCCAGTTAGACCAGCCACAGAGTAAAGACTCCCATCCCAGACATGAGACTTCCTGGCTTAAAGGGGATTCATCACTGTGGGAGTCACACACTGAGGGGTTGGCTTTCCTCCTTCTGGGGTCCAGTGGGATGTAGTGGGTGGGTATCTGGGCAGCCATACCTGTGCCATTATGAGCACTTGAGACCGCATATGATTCCGAGCCAAAGCCTCTGTCCAAGAGTAAGTGTTGGGTTCATTGGGCCTGGAGTCCCAACATGCTGGGTGTGATGAGGAGGCTGAGTGTGGGTGGGAACACAGATGCAGACTGCCTTAGGAAGAGCTCCGTGGGTCTCTGGGAGGTTGTGCTAACGTTTGTCCATGCAAATGGGAGGCTGCACATCTGTGTCACTAGCAGCGAGACTCTGGATAGGTATGCTTGGCACTGGGAGATTGTATGCGGGTGTGGAAAGGAGTGTGTGGGTTTTGTGTCACCACGGTTGGGAAATTTGAGTGTCAACAGAACACTGTTCAGTTTTCTATCACTATCATGCCTGGGAGGAGACTGCCAGAAAGCTTGAAAGGAAAGCTGTGTGTGTGCGCTCGCGACACTATTTGGGGGAGGTTGAGTGCCTGTGTGTACTACAGAAACTGTGATGATATCACTTTTAGAAACCACACGGCTGCCCTCCAACTGCCTAGTCCGGCAGGGCGACTTGCCCCGGTGCCCCCGTCGGGAACACGATTCACCTTTGGTTCAGGGTCCGCCCAGCGCGGTCCTACTCGGAGACACCCCATCACACACAGGCACGACCCACAAAGCCCGGAGTCCCTGAGCTAGGTCGTGTGGGGGTGAGGGGCCGAGCCGGGCCACGCACTCGAAGTGGGGCGCGGGTCTGCGCCGCCTCACTGCGACGTCTGTGCTGCAGGTGTGGTTCCAGAACCGACGCTCCAAGGAACGCCGGATGAAGCAGCTGAGCGCGCTGGGAGCGCGGCGCCACGCCTTCTTCCGCAGTCCGCGGCGGATGCGACCGCTAGTGGACCGCCTGGAGCCGGGCGAGCTCATCCCCAACGGGCCCTTCTCCTTCTACGGAGGTGGGTGCACTGCGGAGTGGCCGGGCTCGGCCAGGTCGGGTTGGCTTCGTTGGAAGCGGGTGGCCGCGCGGGAGGCGCTTCTCGCTTTCTATAGAGAAGTGCAGAGTCGGAGAGAGGTGGATGAAGGGGGGGGGGGTCAATCAAGGGGAGCTGGTGAGGCTAAGAGCCGAGTTCCCGACCGGAACGGGCGGGTGGGTAAGGCGCAAGCCTGGTGTTGACAGCAAGGCTCCGCACTTCTCCCTGGCCCTCAGGGGAGCCCCACAAACAGCGAGCTCCTCGCGTCACCTTCCCTAACTAGCTTCCCCAGCGCGCTTTTCCACCCCGCCCCAACGAGGGCCCCGCCCTGACACCCTGCTCCCCGCTGGTCCGCAGATTACCAGAGCGAGTACTACGGTCCCGGGGGCAACTACGACTTCTTCCCGCAAGGCCCCCCGTCCTCGCAGGCTCAGACGCCAGTGGACCTGCCCTTCGTACCGTCGTCCGGGCCGTCTGGGACGCCCTTGGGCGGCCTGGAACACCCGCTACCCGGCCACCACCCGTCGAGCGAGGCGCAGCGGTTCACCGACATTCTGGCACATCCCCCCGGGGACTCGCCCAGCCCCGAGCCCAGCCTACCCGGCCCGCTACATTCAATGTCCGCTGAGGTCTTTGGGCCCAGCCCTCCTTTCTCTTCGCTGTCGGTCAACGGCGGGGCGAGCTATGGGAACCACCTGTCTCATCCCCCTGAAATGAACGAGGCGGCTGTGTGGTAGCGAGGTCTCGCACTGCCCACGAAGTTCATGATTGTACAGAAATGAACCTTTATTTAAGAAAAATAGAAAAAAAAAGGAAAAAAAATAAAAAGCAAGTCATTTCCCCACCTCCAGACTCGGGGACCACCTTCTGTCTGGGGAGACCGAATGGGAAAGGGGGACATGAAATAAGATCCAAATCCGCCTGGAGGTAGGACTGGGATCCTTGAGCTGGCTGGCGAGGTGCAGAACTGGGGCGCCCAGAGGGAAATGCAGACCTCTTCCTACCTCCCACCTGGACTCAAATCCGTGGACAGACTCCGAGGGAGTGCGTGCCTGGCCGCCCCCGACGCAGCCACAGGGGCGCAGAGCTGTGGGGACGCCGGGAGCTGCGGGGAGGGAGACCTAGAGGCGCAACCGCAACCGCAACCGAGTAACAGAGGTGGGGCGGCCTGGGTGCGCTTGATCCGGGGCCAGCCAGGAGGGTTCTGGCTCTGAAATCTTATTATTATTGTCTCAGAGTTCAGCAACAGCGACGACAAACTCTTATAGCTTCAGAAACGCCGACCTGCTGTGCATCAGGTGGGACTATATATATATATTTTTTGTCTATCTGGGTTTTTTGTTCTTTGTTTTTGCCAAAATTGCAAAATTCTAAATGTAAAGCCCTCAATATCAACTCTTCTACCTTCACAAAGCTCTATAAACACACAGATACACACAAGACACATTCATAGGTGGTCTCCAACTAGACCTCTCAGTAAAATGACTTGAACATCAACTGTACAAGAAAAGTATTCTACCTTCACACACACAAAGTTAAAAAAAAAAAGACTATTGAACTAAAAACAGTCAACTGTTTACGTATAGTTAAATTCAGGAGTTCAGTGTTTTACTAAAATTTCCTGTTTTGAAACCTCTTGTTCAAAAACAAAGTGTTTTGAGCAATCAACCAAAATTGTTCATTTTCTTTTCCTGTAGATGTTCTGACAGATTTGCAGGGCTCACAGCTCACTGTGCTAGTATGTAAAAAGGTGTTGTTTACACAAGGCAAAGAGAAAACATGATATTCAGACACTTGCCAAATAGAATAATTATAGCACAAATACTGTAAAGGTGCCTGGCACCCAACCTGAGAAAGTGTTAAAAAAAAAAAAAAGTGTTACAAGGTTAAAAAAAAAAAACATCTTTGCTAATTTTTAGTCCTGTTGAACATTCATGGAATTGTTAATATGACTTATATAGACCCACACAGGTTTTATTTTTGTGTCTTTAAAATAAAAGTCCAAAATATTTAAATTTTATGGTCAAATATGCAGTCAACAGCTGCTACTTTTTCCTTTATATATTAAATTTCTCATATGTCTTTTATTGTTCTGATAAACCTAAGCTTGTGTGACCTCCAGTGCATATTAGACCATTCACTGTATGAAAGAAAACATGTTGAATAAATTTGTGAGTTTTTAATAAAAATAGAAAATCTGATGTTTAGATAATTTGGTGTGTTATTTGATGTTTTCACACATATAGGAGAGACTAATAGGGAAGCTGAATGACCCGGCTGAAGCTAGGAGGAAGAGAGACAGAACTAGAGTGTCTGTTTTCACCTTTGCTTTGGCTGAACCCCTTTGCTAATGTCAAGCAAGCTTTTCTCCTTGGCTTCCTGGCATTATTAACTACAGATTTACATCCTGTGGATTTAACTGATACCGTTGAAGAGAAGTTTGCTGATACGTTATTATGGAATTCGAAATAGAAATCAAATCCTTGGCTAAAAATGAATGGTCGCAGTCTGTGATTAGGCATGAAATCCCATATACACACACTGCTCTCTGCACATGCAAAGCTGGACTTGTGAGTAGAAGTTACCTGTAAATACGCAGCTAGAGGTGGTCCTCTTCAATTCACTTCTTATAGATAATCATGCTTTCTAATTCGGTGGTTTGAGAGAGAATGTAAAATGAAGGGACAATATAGCTGGAAATGAAAGACCTTAATCTCTTTCAGAGAACTGAAATGAAATCATTGTTTTGTACTATTTGTTACATTTGTTATTCAGTTGTCCAGAGGACAACTATGTTGCCTGACACAAGATACAGAATACATTTCTCTGAAAGAGGTGCAAAACTAACCAATACAGAAATCTAATTTGAATTAGGAGTTGCCACCAAAAATTCTGAAAAGTAGTTTAATGTCTTTCACATTTTCATTAATCATAGAAGGAATTTATTTTACCTACTATGAATTAAATGTGTGTGTGTGTGTGTGTGTGTGTGTGTGTGTGATATCAGATGCTATTAGAGTTTTTCACCAAAGTATTTCAGTTTGGATTATTTCCTTATTTTAAAAATCAAATATTTTATATTAAAAGGTGTGTCATTTTTGTGTTTTTAAAAATATCTTGTTTAAAATACAACCAAATGTAGCTTTCCTGTCTAGAAAACTTTAAAATAGTATCAGTTTTCCACTGCATCTAACGGCGGGTTTATCCAAATGGGGAGGATTATCCCGAGAAATCTGACCGTGTTCATTCAGAAATCCAAATTTGTGAAATACAAACTCCTAGTCTGTGCAGGCAGCACATTTGTTTATACACTTTGTGCGCGGTCACAGGATCGGCTTGTTTTTTGCCCATTTTGTGTTTTTATACATTAAACCTTAGCTGTCTTGTTTATAGTCTCCCCCCCAACCCCCCCCCCGTGCACGCTCTCATGGGCGCGCGCGTGTGTGCACACACACACACACACACATTCATTTAACTGAATGTATGCTCATTGGGAAGCTGCATTTTCCTATCAAGGCTGCTGAATTATTTAGCAGTTTTACTGTGGAATCGGGTACTTGATACGAAATATGTCAGAGTTGGCGCTAGGTGTGAACTCAATTCTTCTCCCTGTGGAAGCAGGGTAGTTTTTCGGGCTCGCCGTTTTATCTAGAACCCTAACGAACTGAACTCTGAACAGGCAACAAAGCTTAGCAGTCAAATATGGACAGGTGGGAGAAGGAGGTCTAGAAATGTTAGTCACTGTTTTTCCCACTAGAACCAGGGTCCATCTCAGCCCATCTCAGGACCACTGCACTATCCACACGTGGTGGGGGGGGGGCGGGGAAGGCTGGGAGAGCCCAGGAGAGGGCAAGGGTGGGGGTACACCTCTGGTTGGGGGATCCCCAAGAAGGCCCTCTCGGGCAGGACCAAAGATTCTCAGCCTGGTTTCTCCCCACGGCCATCTTAAAGTGGCTACCACTGTAACTCTGGCCACCTGCCCTTTTAGTTCTCAGGCAGAGAGCTGCCATCTGCTCTGAAGGAGGGAAGACAAGCTCACCCAACCAGCCTCCCCAGGTTGGGGGGCTACATTGGGACAAGACAAGGTGGAGTAGGGCTGTGGGTGGAAAGCCAGAATAGTTACTGGCAAGAGGCTGGGACTGGAGTTTGATGGCCTCTGAAAAGTAGAAAGAGAGACAAGTGAGAACCTTGTTTCTTTACACTCTTGAACCTGGCCTTGTCAATAGTCAGTTGATGGGGGTTAGTCAGTCACCCCAGTTCATCCTCAGCTGTCCTTATATCTGTCTGCCACTTTGCAGCCCCTAGCTAGCAGACAGTGGGATTGTGAACCTGGAGACCATCTATGTAGACAACTGTCTTTTTGGGAGAGTGTTCCCTTTATTCCCATCTCCCTGCTAAGCTCATCTTCTTAGACAGCAATCAGAGGTTTGCATTTCTTTCAGGAAGATGTCTTTGAAATATCCCTTCCTTCTCCCATAGTCTACCCTCCAGCCCTGTTCCCCCTATAGAAATCCCATACCCCTTTCATCTCAAGAAACTGAAAGTGGAGAGGGTCCCTGGGAGAGGAAATTTAGGGGTGCTTTCCTGCCTTGTGCCTCAACTTCTCTTAGTGGCATCTTAAGTTCTAGAATTCTTTTCTCTTTCCTCCACTCCTGAAATCCCCTCCACACACTCAGTAGGGATTAAGAAAAGCAGGGAAAGCATTTGGGGGGGGGCTTTGGAGGTCTGTGACAGGAATAGAGTGATTTTAATTCCTTTCTTTAAAGCCTTCTCAAATTAGTGGGGACAGAGAAAAACAGGGAAGGGAGAGTAGGTAAATAGGTGGAGGGCATTTTCTGCCCAACTCTTCTCCGTGTCCCCATTTCTGTTGACAAACCCCGCCCCAACACATCAAGGTTAGACTTCTAAGCATTGTTGGAAGATAGTTTCCTAAAGGTCGGGTGAGAGAAACATTTTTGGCCATAAAGCCCAGGAAAACGGCCCTGTGGCAACATGAGGAGCATGCGTTTGCTCTGGAGGCCCCAGACACAGGGGGGTATATAGTTTTAAAAAGCTGTTTCCTAGCCTGAATTCGAATGATAAAAAGCAGGGTTTTTTGTCTGAGTCCACTGCCTCGGGGTTCCCCTATGCTAGCCTGGCATTCTTTCCCTTTTATGTCTGAAAAGGTCTACCCTAAAACAGGTTCTCCTTCTTTGTAGTCACCTACGAAGGGAAAATGGAACAAGTCACTAAAGTGGTGCTCTTTCCTTGCTTTTGACTTTGGGGGCATATCAAGACTGAAAGTCAGGGGACCTCACTTGTCTCAGGTTCTAGAAATCACTAGAGAGCTGAGGGTTCTCCAGACTTTGACTGTGGGATCCAGTTGGCCTGGGCTGTGCCCCAGAATGACACAGGGCACCTGTTTTCTATATCCTCTTGAGGCAGTTTCTGTTTAGGGGGTTCTAGGTATTTTATAGGTGACCTCAGATTCTGGAAGGATAGACCATTTTTGTATTCACTCTAATTCCTTATTGTAGTTTCTGTTTGTGTCCCTCCTTTCCCCCCATTGATCACCATCGGAACAGAATCTAACTTACTTATCTTTATGTCTCATCTAGTAGTGCCTGCCCCATAGTGGGCAGGCAGGGAATGCTTGACGACAGAGAGTAAAAAGGGATTATATCTTCCCATGTGCCTAGGTGTAACTAAATCGATCCTATTAAGTTTTTATATTTTGAGTCCACCTATGTCCCTCTAACGGTAGACGTGAGTTTTTCTAAATTTCTGCATCAATTGTAAGTGTCTGAGTATGCACTTATCTTTGAACAGCAAAGAAATCAATACGGAGAGGTGTGCAGTAATCACTCCACCTCCTTTTCCCTGCTCAGACAAGACTACTTGGAGACGCTACTGAATCAATCTTTATGCACAACCATAGCGATTTCTAATTATTCCTATTAATAAAGACGCCCTAAGTATGCCGCACATTTCGCACTTGTACTTTCCATCCCTGATGTAGAATTACCAAATCCCGGCCGCTGCGGGTTCAGAAGTCTGGCCCCAGACTCCAATTTGTGAACAGCCAAGTCTGCTTTTAATTCCAGTTTGTGCATGCCAGAAAGTGCATCGTCTGCTCGAGATGCTTACCCTGTACTCCCTGCTTCCCAAGTCAGCCACCCTGGGTCCCGGCTAAGCAAGTATCACAAATCTTGCGGAGTATTTTATGCAAGGAAACGCCGGCCGCGCGCACCGTAACCTCTTCTAGAGCCGGCGGCGGCCACGTGCCCTTGCGCGCTCTCGCTTCGCTCAACACACCCCCTCGACGCACGCGCACGCGCGTCCCGACGGCGACAATCTCATCAGCCATCCGTGCGCTTCCGCCTTCCCCTTAGCAACGCCCGCATTGACGCACAGGCCACGCCTCTCCCGCGCGCCTCCCGGAAGTTGCCGACTTGGAGCTGGGCGCTGTGCTGTCTCCGGCCGAGAAGACTGGGCGTGCAGTGGCGAAGAGAGCGACCAGGCGGCCTCTGCGGTTTCACATTCACGTGCGCGGCCCGGAGCGAGAAAAACACGGTGAAGATGGCGGGGTCGCAGCCCCTGGCGCTGCAGCTCGAACAGTTGTTGAACCCGCGGCCGCGCGAGGTGGATCCTGAGGCCGACCCGGAGGAAGGTGAAGCTTGCCCGGGGCCACGTGCGGAGCGGAGCGCCGGGCCTGATTGAGACCTGGGCAGCCTGTGGGGCTCCCGGGCCCTGCCTCCTGGCCTGCTCTTGCCCCGTGCGCGGAGGGGACTGCCTTGTGGAGGGTTGCCCCGGGCCCTAGTGGAGGGCCGGGGCTTCTTTCCGGCGCGCACTCCAGACTTGGTGTTCGGGGGCGGAGCTCCGGTTCGGGTTATTTGTTGGGCCAGGGGGTCCTGAAGAGCGATGGAGCTGGTTAGGAGTTAGCTTTCAAAATGCTTACTGGCATTGCGTTGGATGCGAGGGGGAGGAAGTCTGATAAGTTTTTGTTTTTATTTTTTAACTCTGCCTGCCCCTAAGAACGTACTTGGAAAATGAAGGAAGAAGTAGACTTCAGTGGTGCTGTGTAAAAAGCCCCTTTAGGCCTCAAGACACTTGATCAGGGGCTGACGAGTGAGGCTGCTGTTCTGTAAGCTGATGTTCAAGGTCTCGTTGGGAGTAATCCTGCTTTCGAGTTGAGTCAGAAGTGCAAGAAAGGGAGAATAAGGGAGGACAGAAGTGACAAATGTGAGTGCTGAACCGTATCTAAGGAAGATCAGTTGAAGGAACTTACCAATTTAGTCCGGTAAGGGAAGAAAACTCCTTGAGGGTTGGGATGGAGTGAGGCTACTACGTGAGGATGGCTGACTTACAATATTTGAATGACTGTCAGACATGGAAGAGGAATTAGGCTATTTCTCTACGATCCAAGGTATAGCAATCTGTCCTGGTACACATGGAGAATCAGCTTTCTGTTCAGGACTATCACTAAGATATAAGTCTACCTTGGGAAGTAATGAGTTCCCTGTTCCTGAGACTTAGTGGGAATTTTGTAAAGGGCATTCAGAATGAGTTGAAAGGGTTAAGCGAAGTTACCATTAAAGTTTCCTCTAACCTGGAGATTCTGTTACTTTCCCCTCCTTCACAGCCACTGCTGCCAGAGTGATTGACAAATTTGATGAAGGGGAAGATGGGGAAGGTGATTTTGCGGCAGTGGGTAGCATTAGAAAATTGGCATCGGCCTCCCTCTTGGACGCAGATAAGAGGTATTCTGGCAAGACTACATCTAGAAAAGCTTGGAAAGAAGACCAGTGGGAGCAGACTCTGCCAGATTCATCTGGTGAGTGGACATGTTTGCATGGTACTCTTCCTAGTTTTCTTGATCTCTGTAGGACTAGTTTATATGTAATTGGACCATAGAAAGGGCCTAAGAAGTACTTAATTTCTTTTTATTTTTTGGGGGTGTCAACATATGGCTGTAGGTGATCATCTGTCAATAGGTGGGGAGGGGGCCATTCACTTGCAAGAGAGACCTCCCTTAGGGTTTTCACAGAAAGATAAGCAAACCTTAGTTCTACTGAAAAAAAGTCCAGGAGTTCTGGAGTTACTGTAGTCAGCAAATGAGAAAGAAAGTATCCTCCAAAACTCAAGAGTCTATTATCTATAATTGATAGAGGCAGTACTTAACTTCACAAGGAAACTAAAGCTCAAAGTAAGGAAACATACTGCTTATGTTCAGACTAATACTTCATCCTATAAGGGAGTGAGAGAAAAGAAATACATTTTGGAGACTGGAAAAAGCATTGTGAATTTCCAGCGATGCTCTTAGTGAATTTTGAACTGCTTTCCATTTTTCAAATCTTACATTGAATCATTGTTTATTAATTTGTGAAATTAATTTTTTGCCATGAAAATACTCTTTTCCTTGCAAGAGGGTGAACAGTAAGGATGTGACCTTACTGTTTAAAAGCATCGTATTGTGAGCAAAGCTCAAAGTAGAAGAAAGGGCTGGACATGGTGATTATTGGGAGGATGCCATTTATTTTCCTTTTCCAAGATCAGAGGTACCATGTTGAGAACCCATTGACAATATAAAAGAAACAATCACTTAGGTTATACTATCCATGGCCAAGACTTAGATATTGTTCTGGGAGCTCTTGATAAGCTCATCTCATGTTTTTTGCGCAGAGACTGATAAAAAGATCAATCGTGAGACAAATAGTGTTATCTTTATTGAACTATCACCATGTAAGCTCTTTTAAAGTACAGGACACATAAATCCTCGAAAATATTATCATCATTATTACATGTGTCATCTCATTTAATCCTCCCAATAACCCAGTGAAGTTGTAAATATCCCCATTTTACAGGAAATTGAGGGACAGGTTAGTTAAGTAAGTTGCTCAGGGTCATATCAGTAGTAAGCAGAAGAATTAGAACATCAGTAAGGCAGTCTATTCCAGCATATCCGTGATACACTTAGCTCCTACTTCGTATGAATGTTTCTCAGTTTAAGAAATGACAAACATTTAAAGAACTTAAAGGATTATTTCTGTGTACTCTTTTTGCCCTTAATTATTTGTATTCATATTTTTGACAGTCTTCTTTGTGTCTTCAACTTATATATGGTTTTAAGACATACTGAAGAACAGATTTTGGTAACTGGCCCCTCTGACAGTTATTCTGGCTGTTTATGTGGCTATTATGGGTCCTTTATGTTCTGCAGTAGAAGGGATTGGATAATCAGTTAATACTTGTGTCAGGTGATATCTTGAGCGTAACTAAAACCAAGACCCTTAATTAAAACTTCATTTACTGTAGGATCAAGTGCAAGCTCTTTCCCATGAATGACAAGACCCCTCCTGACTTGATCCCTAAACAACTTTCTAGACTCATCTCCTACCATTCTGCACTTGGGTGCACTTTTGCATAATGCTGTTTTCTCTTTGCCTGCTCTCTTCTCTGAGGAGCTGTTATGTTGAATAAGTAAAATTATGATGTCTCCTTCATGTGAAAATGTCACTTCACACCTTTCAAGTAGTTAGGTGCTTCCTTCATTATATACTACATACTATTTACTTTGTAACATAGTATTGGATAGTATTGTCACTTGTACTGTGAACCTCTCTATGCAGTATTCTACTCCTATATATCATTTATTAATTTTTATCTCTAGCTATGCCTGGCTCATAATAGAGACTTACTAAGTATTTAATAAATAGGTATGCTGGTGTGGTAGAGAATGTACATTTGGGAAAGTTAATGAAAAAAACTATATTTTTCAAATGCATTTTTGCAAAAACTGATAATTTCTTCACACCAGTTGAATTCTGATCATTCTGTAAGGTCTGACCAAAGGCTGCTTCTTTGTAGCCCTCTTTTAAATTCATTTGCCCCGTGTTAATTTATCTCTCCTCTGGAGTGATCAAAACTTTGATAAAGCACTTTTTAAAAAAAGATTTATTTATTTATGCATACAAGAAATAGTAAACAGGCCAGATGTGGGGTTGAGAAGATTCACCAGAGACAGAGTGTGGAGCAGAACAGGCAGATCGACTGAAATACACTGCTGAGGGGAGCAGTGGGCAAGATAGTAAAGGTCTGCTGCACCACTTGGGTCAGCTTCCTGGTTAGGTATCGAACTCGTGATGCAGTTGCTGCAGATAGCTTCATAGTGCTGTGTTTTAACCCCTTGTACCATCAGGGAGGCCCCCTGTCATAGCACTTATAAATCTTTTTGGTATTAAAGTTTTTTACAGGTTTATCTTTCCTAATGGAACATTTGGTTAGTACCCCTATTTCATCATTTTTGCCTCCCTTTTAGAGATAGTAGATGTGTAATCAATGTTGAATTGAGTGCCTTTTTTTTTTTTTTTTTGATAGGTGCCTTAATCTTTTCTCTGACATGAGATGAGAGATATGGCTGAGGGGTTGTCTCAAGGTAACATCCACTCTTTCTTTCTTCCCTCCCTGTTTAGACAAGGAAATATCTGATGAGGAGGACGAACCTAGAGATGGAGATTCAGAAGAGCTGGATCTGGAAGAGTCTGATGAGGATGCCATGAGTGCTGCTGAGGAACAAGAGTGTGGTGATGATGGGGACATAAGTTTGCCCTGGAGGAAGAAAAGCAGAAACTGTGCTGAGAAAACACCTGGCTTCACAGCCCCCGGCATCAGTGACTTTGAAAAATTTACGGCGGGAATGGATGACCTTGGTAGCAGTGAAGAGGAGGAAGATGAAGATGAGAGTGGTGTGGAAGAAGGGGATGGTGAGGAAGACTTTGAGGGTGAGAGTGAGGAAGACAGGGCTGAAGAGAAGACCAGTGAAGATGATGGTGTGGTGATGACCTTCTCCAGTGTCAAAGTGTCTGAGGAAGTAGAGAAAGGAAGAGCCGTGAAGAACCAGATAGGTTTGTAAATGGTTTGCTATTGGCTTACCCTGCATTTGATCTCCGGTTGTTGTTTGTTTGTGGCTGTTTGCTCTGTACTGTTGCATCCTTTCAGTTAGTGTGTGGCATGCCCTTTTTACCTAGAAACCTGAAACCCCTCTATGTTGAGCTGTCTATTTATACTCAGCTGCTCTGGTATTTCTAGCAGCATTGGAAGCTTGAACAATGTCTTTTCCTTTCTTTGGGCTTTAACATTCTTTCTCTGATATAACAAATATTTCTTTCAAGATAAGATAGGAGAACTTATCTCCTAGCATAGTGTTTCCAGGGTATGAAATGGGACTACAGTTGTGTTGTTTAGAGACTGGTTTGTTTTCCTGCCTCTCCTCTCCCTACTCAGGAAGGTTTTATACACAGGAATGGAATTCTCCTTTTTCTCTTTTTCAGCACTGTGGGACCAGCTCTTGGAAGGAAGGATCAAACTACAAAAAGCTCTGTTGACCACCAATCAGCTTCCTCAACCAGATGTTTTCCCTATTTTCAAGGACAAAGGTGGCCCAGAATTTGCCAGTGCCCTAAAAAATAGTAAGAATACTTATGCTTTATTGGGATACTTAGAAGCACTGGGGTGTGTTGGGCTACACTGGGATTGTATTTACAAACACCAGCAGAGGTTGAAGAAGAGATGATAATGATAATACGGTGTAAAATTGTGGTTTTTAAACCACAATATATTTAATTCCTTTTTCAGATGAAAACAACTTTGAAATGGACTAGGTTTTTGAGTTTTGTATTCTGCTTTTTTCTCACCTGTCCTCTTTTCCTTCCTTTCCCCTTGACTTCCACAGATACTTCTTTAGTGTTCAGAGAATATATTTGAATACCCATTGCAACAGAACAAAAGGGAAAAAAATGAATGCCTAAACCCAGTTCATTTTAGTGTCTAGTGGCTTTTTGGGTCATAGAGTGAGGAAACATGATGAATGTGGAGGGAACAATACTCGAGAATTGCTAAGCTATAAAGTTCAAAAAGTTTAGATAAGAAAAGGAGTTTAGAACTTATTTGGTTTCCAGTCTCCTCATTTTTAAAAAACATTTTTATTTATTTTTGTAGATAAGAACTGGGGTATAGGCCAGAGTTGTGGAGTTACAGTAAGTGGATTCACCAGAGACAGTAGGGAACAGATTAGGTGGATGTACTGAGATGCACTGCTGAGGGGAGCAGTGGGCAAGACAGGTGAAGTCTGCTGCCCTATGTGGGTCGGCATCCTGGTGGTGGATCAAACTTAGCCCTTGGCAGTGACAACGCTGAACCTAGTCTCCTCATTTTATAGGCGAGAGAACTGAGGCTGAGGGACAGTGAAATGCCCGAAGATGCAGAGCTTGATCCCTCATGGCAGAAACAGAGCTCCAGCTTTTCTGCCTTCCAGTGCAGGCGTCTTCCATGTGTACCACATTACCTCATGTGTGCTGTGTACCCAGTGGCACCAAAGCATTGGGCATAGTGGCTGCATCGCTATTTCTTGTTGCATGGTGAGACTTAGTGTATTCCTTTGCTCTTTGAAGCTTACTTTGTTGATATCATGGAGGTAAAGTTGAAGGGCTCTGAAGAGGCAGCTGATTTGGTGTCTGTTTCTAAGTAGAATCACTTTAACCCGCTGAAGGTAAATGTGTAGGTTTTCTACAGTTAGGAATTCTTTGAACTTTTCTTGTAGGAAAATACCCAGATCATTAGGAGTTACTTCTGAGAGTCAGTCTTTACCTTGCATGTCTGTTTGGTCTGTGAAAGGCTTGAGTGATCCTTCAGGAACTCTGCAGGTACTGTTAAAGTAGGGCTTTTATGTATCTGTCCCTAGCTCTTCCTCGCTTTCCTCCCTTAAATAAATGACAGGTTGGAGATTTTTTAAGAAATTGAGATTTTGGAGCACTTTTGTGCTATTTTTAATGCCCTGTAACCCTAATTTCTGGTATGTGTTAGATTGAGGCCTAAATGCTCTAGATCAGATGTCTTAAAATGTTGAATTTCAGGTTTTACTCTTTGCTCTTCTTGTTTGAGCCTTTCCTTTTTTCCCCTTGATTCATCTTAAAATATTGATGTCTTAAAGGTTAGTGAGTAGCAGGTATAATGGACACATTTTTGGATATTGTTTAGTTTCTTCAGCTATTTTAATGATACTTAACATTTATTTTGCAACAGTTCTGATCTTTTTTTGCTTTATTTTAAAAATTTTTATTGAAGTCACATTGGATTAAAACCTTACTAAGTTTCAGGTGTACAGCATTGTATTGATATCTGTTTATTCTTCATGATTACCACCAAAAGTGATTTCTATTTACCACCATAGAATTGACTCCCAATTCTGCTCTTTTTAATCTGTATTTTTGGGTACTTACTCCTTTTCTTCTTTACCTCATGGGTGGACTCCAGATTATCTGCCAAATGTCTGTTAATCTGATAAGAGTGAGGTCTCAAGGGAGGAAGAAGAAAGCACTATTTGGTATCACATAGTCTAAAATGGGAGGGTGGAGAACATGCCAAATAACCATGATTTCTGCACACGTGAAGGATAGCTGATTATCTTTCTTTCCAGCCTTCTCATGAGACTAGGCCATACTATGTTGTTTACTTCCCTGGATTGGTAAACAGTGAGTTTCTTGGCTAAATTGATGCAGATGAACTATGGATACTTGTACTATGTAGCCGATATGAACACAGGCTGAATTTGCACTGACTCTAAAATAAGCACGGGCTTTATTGTCTTCAATTAAATCTCTTTTCAGTTTCGTCTTCCATTAGTTAAAGTTGGACTAACTGGGTTTAGATTCATGCAGCAATTAATTAGTTAGGTGACCTTGGGTAAATTATAGTGAAATGGAGATAATCAGGTTGTAAGGATTAAAGGACATAGTCAATATAAAGCATTAGCATAGTGGCCAGCACACACATTGCTACAAATGTTAGTTAACTTTTGTTGAAAAAGACATTTGACACTTTTCAGTTGTAAATGATGGCCAGTGTAACTAACCATCATTCCTAACTAAGCAGTGTCCCCAGTGTTTTTTAATGCTTTTCAATATTCAAATTCCTTCTATAATTTGAAGTAACCATTTGATTTTGGAAAATGGGTAGTATTACATTCTCCTGTAATACAGTTCAGCTGCTGTCTCATGACCATGGAAAGATGGCCAGAGATTTCCTTATTGCAAAACCCAGCCACTGCTTCCTTGAAGCACACAAACATTCCTTGAAATATTTCCCAGTGGCTTTGGTGATACTCCTTATGTTATTTGGCTTCTGCTGCCTTTCTGAATTCTTCTCATCTCAAACTCTAATACTTTCAATGTCAGCTTCATTGCATTTAGGATGCTGTTCTCAGTTTGTATTTTTTTGAGGTCCCTCTCAAGACTGTCATTCACTCTCATAGTCCTGACAACAGCCTCTAAAACAGCAGACTTGCAGCTCTGTGCTAGCCGTAGTGAATTCTTGAGCAGTGGGGCCTTTGTATCTGACATTAAACCTAGTTTCCAGAAAGGAAATTCTACTTTTCAAAATGTTGAGTTCAACAAATATATTTTTTTTTCCCCCAACATGCATGCAGTTAGTCCTTAGTCACCTTGCTGTTGCATGTTGATAATTATAGCTCTTGACCTATGAGGAAATTTCAGACTTTTTTTTTATATTTTCCTGGCTGTCTAAGTGGTACATCATGTAGCTTCAACAAAGGGTCCCTTTGTGCACAGAGCTACTTATTTTAAGAGGGTAGTTTTCCCCCTCTGGTTTTCTCTTAAAAGATTCACAGTATTATAACTTTACGTTGGTGGCAATATCATGTAAGCAAGAAGGCAAGTTACTTAACGAAAGCTTAGTATGTGTTATTTAAAACTTGTCATTGTGTTCTATATCAAACTTAAGGAAAGATAGAATTGTATAGTCAACCTGTGGCCATTATGTACTATAGAGCTCAGCAATTATTTCATAACCAATCTTACTTCATGTATATTTGTATTAGCTTTTCCTCCTCCTTCTGTATTATTTTGAAACAAATACCAAACACCCTATCATATTAGCCATAAATCTTCCAACATATATTTCTAAAAGGAAAGGGATTAAAAAATAATCACAACACCAGTATCCCTCATAAAAACACTAATAGTGATTTCTTAATAAGCATAACTGGCTTGAATGGATGAGAGAATTCAAAGAGCATTTTCATAACACTTTCTATCAATACTATCTTTTTCAGAATTTGCTCAATGGCTTCCAATGAAGTGATTAAATGAAAGCTAAATTTGAGCCATAATAAGTTGACCTTTTAGCGGGATGCATGTTATTAATATATTTAATGAGATGCATTATAAACTGCAGCAAGCACCATGTTTCATTACAGGTCTCAAATGCAGATTCATTAAAGACCTTTAATAGAAACAATGGTTGACATTTTGATATTTCCCATAAGCAAAAAAATCCAAGAATACAGTATAAATGTAATACAAATATGGAGAAAATGTTGAATTTTTTTTATTTGCCGAAGAGTAAAAATAAATTTTTCTATTAACAAATGAATAAAAACATGTTTCCCCTACCTTCCCCTTCTAGTTATATTTATCCTCTCATCTCTTTGACCTTAGCCCCCAACTATTTTGACTTGAATAAAAATGTTTAATGCTCATTTGAGCTCAGCATTAATAGACACCCTAAACAATAACTTCTTAAACCTTGAGAAAGTTGTGGATAATCACGGACTCTTGATAATGTTTCTGTTTAATTTTTTTCAATTTATTTGTTTTTAGTAGACAGTACATTCACATGGTTAAAAATCCAAAAGAAACTACCAGCTACATAGAGAAAAATCTTTTCTTCTCACTCCTATACCTCTGCCATCCAGTTTCCGTTCTGTAGGCAAATGATATTATCAGCAACCCCTGCCCCGCCCCCCCCCCCAAATTATATTACCTTTAGGTGAAAAATCCATGAACTTTTTTCCCAGTGATTGCTCAATGAATATGAATACATTTTGGGTTCATGGCACAGTTCTTACAAACGACGTGTAGAACTCTGGAATATTCTTAATTACTTGGGATAGATTATTGCTTGGGATGAAGGCACCTGCAAGCTTCTCCAGGTGTAACACTGGTAGGATTAAGGAACCTTCTTACCCTGAAGTTCACCTAAACAAGATGATATAAGATTGATATTTTTGTTTCAGCCAATGGTTATTTTAAAAACAGCTCTATTGTTCTGATTATAAAATTATGTCCTGCTTACCTCAAAAATACAGAAAATACATAAAGTATAAAGGAGAAAATAAAAATTAAATTGCTGCCCAGAGGTAATCCTTATTGTCATTTGATAAATATCCTCAGACCTCTTTTTGTGATTTTTACACACCCAGTTTTTAAAAATGAATATGGAATTTAATAAATATGTACTATTTTGTAAGATTATTTTTTCTTAATAGATCATTTTGTGTTAGCATGTTTAGATGTACATCAGCATTTTCTGTAGCTACAGAGTATTTCATTTTATGAATTTACTGTAATTTATTTAACCAACCTGTATTGATGGATGCTTAGGTTTATTCTAG